GGCTAACCTCACGATTTTCTCTTTTCAGGATGTATTTTTTACATTTGCGTTCTAGCTTCCTGAATAAATGTTATGTTATGTTATGTTATGTTATGTTATGTTATGTTGGTATGACGGTCGTCGATCACAAAATTATCACCAACATCTCTTCGAATTGCCTGAATCCATTTTTGTCTCAGTGCTTTATCACTTGGAAATTGAAAATGAGATATCTTCTCACCATTAATCACGTATGTCTTCGTAGTAAACAAAGGGACACAACAATTTAAAACCATATTACGAGTAGTTAGCAAGGGAACAGCGAAAAAAGATCAAATAACAACAAAGATGGCTGGCCCGACCGTACTCGTTTTTGATGTTTTTTGAAAAATTAGAACGCATTACCTCACGGACATTTTGGGTATTGCTTATGGTGTATAGCAAAGGAAAGAGAGGAAAAAATTATGAAAAAAAAAAGATTAGGAAAAGGATCAAAAGTCAGAGTAAAGACGAAACAGAGGCAAAGTACAAAATGATTGAAATAGAAGAAGAATGCTAAGGTGAACTACAACTGACGATAAATTTGTAATGAACGGTGTGCTATTTGAAATCACTAATACAAATCAACAAAGAATCATAGCTGAGTTAGACAAGTTGTCCCCAAACTGAGAGTTTTAGGCACCATTTACATGCTCCCGAGGCAACCTTCCCCCCGAGTTACCCTAGGAGACAGCTAGGGGGGAGGGGGGGTGCGAGTTGTCTCACTTCGGCAGGTAGGGTAACCCTACCTTGTCTCGCCTACCCGAAACGAGACGACTTAACAGAAAATGCGTGTGCGCGCTACAACCAGAGCATGTGCGTGCGTATTGCAGCTATTTATTATATGGCTGTGTCTCACGAGGACTGGGAACTACTGACTCACGAATTTGATTGGCCGAAATCATTATTGAAAGCGGTTTGTTGCGAATGCCAAAAAACACCAGGCTGTTCTTCGCAAACTTCACGGTTTTATTCTTCACTTAGTTACTATACTCACAGATCACGTCTCTATCCTTCTCGATAGAAGAAGCAACAAAAAAATCTTGGCAGATTTTATCTTATCAGTATGTGCGGCACACCCTAACACCCAGATAACGATATCAGCTAACAAATGGACCGGTTAATTGATCCCATTACCGACACTAAAAACCACAAGCGAAAAGTTGTCACCACGCAATCTCTTATCTTACTAACTTGTCACACAATCTAACTAAAATTGTCTCAACACATCTAGATTTTCCCATCTAGACCGGCATCTAGACCGGCATCTAGACCGGTCTAGAAAAAAAAGGTGCAAAGAATATAAAAAATTGGCAAAAAAGACACAGCCATGTAATAGACATCTTATTTACCGAGCTAGGTCGGTCTGTATGGGAGAATCTTGACCTCGGTCGCCGGTACAGACCGAACGCAGTGAGGTCTGTACTGGCGACCTCGGTCAAGATTCTACGGTGGCCCATAGGGGATATGACACATTTTTTTTTATCGCGCGATAAAATCAAAATATTACGGTGGCCCATAAGGGACATGCCACATGTTTTTTATCGCGCGATAAATGATAGATTATCGCGCGATAAATGAAAACTTATCGCGCGATAAATGGAAATTATCGCGCAATAAATGAAAAATTATCGCGGGATAAATGAAGATTATCGCGCGATAAATGGAAATTATCACGCGATAAATGGCAATTATCGCGCGATAAATGGAAATTATCGCGCGATAAATGGAACTTATCGCGCGATAAATTCAATCTTATCGCGCGATATTTCGTACTCCGCGTGTGCGTGATATTAGTCACGCAGTCAACACAGTAAGGTAAGATGGCGTTGTTANATTTATGTTTTCTGAAAGCATGTTGTTACAGCCGACGTATTCTTTGGTTAGAAGGTGGTCGTACAAACAACAACCCAAAAATCATTGCTAATTATTTTACAGACTATATTCGTCAAATTGGTGGAGTCCCGAGGATAGTGCGTGCAGATGCAGGAACAGAAAATGTATATGTCGCGGGAATACAACGGTTTTTGAGGTCAGGGTGCGAAGATGCATTTTCAGGTGATAAAAGTTTCATGTACGGAAAGTCAGTTAGCAATCAGAGGATAGAGGCTTGGTGGTCTTTTCTGAAGAAAAGTAATGCAAGTTGGTGGATCGACTCTTTTAAAGACATGAGAGATGAGGGCATCTTTTGCGATCATGACCCAGTTCACTTAGAATGCTTAAGATTCTGTTTCATGCCTTTGATTCAAGGAGAGCTCAACAAAGTTGCCATACACTGGAATCTGCATATAGTATAGACTGGAGGGCATATAGTATAGACTGGAGGGCATATAGTATAGACTGGAGGATAAGCAAACTGATCATAGTTTATTTCAAGGTTTAAGTGTAACACAACAGTATAACAGTATAACAACAGTATAAGTCATGCAATGATCAAAAAGTTATCACAAAATATAAATAAATAATACAAATTTCCACGGGCTCGCATCGCGGTCTATTAGATGAAAATTAGACTGAAAATATAGCTAATCAATAATTTATTTAAAGCAGGCTAATTTCATTATCAATAAACGCTTTTTAAACCTGGCAACAACGCTCCTGTCGACACATCTGCCCTCTAGAAGTTTGCAAACCTGCAATGTAATCAGAAAGATTAGATAATCCACTCTCGTTCTCAGACACTGACAGTCATCCCTGAAAGCGTCTCTAAGATTTCGCAAAATCAAGGTTTACTGTACCGATTCACAGAGCTATGTGTCGTAGTATTACAAAGTACTGCTAAATGATCTTTTTACGTAAATAAAACGAACTGGTGATCTCAAAACATACCCCCTCAACTGTGGCAGCCATTGTCGTCCACAGAAACATCGTGCGTGACAGCCGATTACGTGACCTAACAAGTTTCCCATTTATCGCACGATAAATGATAAATTATCGCGCGATAATAAATATTATCGCGCACGATAATAATGTTGATGCGCGATAATAAAAATTATCGCTCGATAATTTATCATTTATCACGCGATAATTTCCATTTATCGCGCGATAACTTCCATTTATCGCGCGATGATTTCCATTTATCGCGCGATGATTTCCATTTATCGCGTGATATTTTGATTTTATCGCGCGATAAAAAGAAATGTGTCATGTCCCCTATGGGCCACCGTAAAATGTATTACCTTTTATGACTGAGGAAAGGAGGAAAAGTATTCGTTACAAAGACATGTTGTGGAAAAGATTCATAAGGGAACGAACTGACACTAATTATGCTGCATACAAGTCGCAAAGGAATCGGCGTACTTCACTGAGACGCAAGGCCATTCGAAACTTCTTTACGAAAAGATGTGAAGGAGACAACCAACGAGATTTTTGGAACGTATATCGGCCGTTAATACATTCAAAGAAACAGGCATCCAAATGATATAATATTAAAGGAAGAAGGAACGATGATTATGGACAAGAAAGCGATTGCAAACATCTTTAATGATTATTTTGTCAACATTGCGAGGGGTTTAAATGAGATTACAGGTGATTATGGGAGAGATTTTGCCAGCCATCCAAGCAACTATGATCCAAGCATAATTGCTATTCACAACCGAGCGGTCTGTCAAAGATCTTTTCAGTTTTCAACTCTCAAGCAAAACACAAGTAGAACATTTATTGCTGCAAATGAATACTAGCAAGTCATGTGGACACTCGATTTCCTCCCACCACGTTTTCTTAAGGACTCGGCAAAGGTTATATCTGCTCCAATCGCACACATCATAAATGCATCCATTCTTCAATGCAAATATCCCAGACGATGGAAGATGGGACACATAACTCCAATCTTTAAAAAGGATGATGAACTTTTAAAAGAGAATTATAGACCAGTAACAGTACTCCCCTGTATGAATAATATATTTGAAAAGCTACTGACTTCTCAGTGCGAAGAATTCTCCAGTGGGCTCCCATCAAAGTTTCTCTCCGCCTACAGAAAATTTCAGAGTTGTGAGACTTCGCTTCTTAGACTAACAGACGACTGGAAAAGGAGTAGAAAAAAAAGAACTCGTTGGGGTTGTCTCAGTGGACTTATCGAAGGGGTTTGATGCGATACCACATGCTCTTCTTTTAGCCAAACTAAAAGCGTATGGCCTGAGTGACAGTGCTTGTGCGCTCCTCGAGAACTATCTCTCTGGAAGATTGCAGAAATTCAAAATTGTATGTATGTATGTGTGTATGTATGTATGTATGTATGTATGTATGTATGTATGTATGTATGTATGTATGTGTGT